TTTCCCATTCATTCACGGCTTACGAATTGTATAAATAAGTTTCGATTGATTACATCAATCAGATGCTGTAAAAATCTCTTTGGGTTGCGTTCGGGTCGATACCTAGTATTTCGGGGAAAGGGACAAGGGTGGTAGTTATTACTTATTGAACAAGTTGAAGTTTATTGAATCTTCATTGCCGAGTACAGCTGCCTTTGGGTAGTTCTTCTTAATCTATTATACAATTGTAAATGAATGGGAAAAGCGAGCGACCGATTTCATTCTCGGTATCATTTTGCATTTGAGAACGGTCAATCAAATTAATATCATTTCCTTTTTATTTGGGAAAGAGAGACACTGGCAGCGGTCCACTCTACCCATGATTATGGGTTTTGGTAAAATATCATTTCTTTTTGATTATAATGTCAGGGTACTTTATAAAGTCGAAATATAAACTGATATCTTCATTAATAAGGAGGAAGTTTCAACGATTTCGAAATTTTTCCTTTAAAAACATTTCCTTGTGTTTAGGGAAGCATATCGGTCGATCACTGACTGAATATGCCACTTAATACTCATTCAAGTTGGCATTAAATTCATATATAATGACATTAAACTGTCGTGGCAAAGCAGAATTTGTTGGAAATCATGAATGAGCAAAATTCTCACCTTTCGCACGTGCAAACTTTGAGCGGACGTTGCGTGCGCATCCAATACTAAATCTCTGTAAAATTTTGCATGTAATTGTTTTATATATAGCTTGATAAGCATGCAAAGTTTCAAAGTATTTCAAAAAGAACTGTAATCACAACGGCACTCTAAAGTTGACAGAAAATGACGAAAACAGCAATTTTCAGTGATTTTAGTAATTTTCTATCAATTTGGGCGTGTCCCCACGTGTGCAACTTTTCGATTTTCAACTTTAAAACTAGCCTAATGCACAATTTATACCTATAGGAAGCAGAACTGAGCTCCACAACCCAAGGCATGGCCCAACACCAGAGAATACTAAATCGCAAAATTGACGTTTTTATAAAATAATTCTTCAAAAAAGCACAAACTTCAATGACGAATATCTTTATGAAGGAGCAAGCTAGAAAAACTTTCCGGTAGATTTTCAGAATGCTTGAACAATTATCTAAGGTAAAAATTTCCTCAGATTTTGAATAAAATTACTTCTTAATGGTTTAAAATTAATTTTAAAAGTTATTACTTTGTCAAAAATCAAGTTTTAAAAACGGTTAACTTGATGACGTCATCAAGGGGTGTTTATGACGCCAAATAATTTTTGTATACAATGTAAACTAAAGTGTAAACAATTATTTGCAAGACCTGTGGTCGGAAATGGCTGTATCTTTTATACTTTTGAATCTATGGACACTTAAATACAGGCTACAATTGACTGGCAAAGCGTCTATCCCTGAATATATATGTATATCTATCTATGTCACGACAATCTGTCGTAAAACAGGGGTTCTAGAAAACCCATTTCCCGATGCTCCTGAAACTTGAAACTTTTTTTACAGTCGATTTGGTCAACGTCTAGACGCCCTGCAAAATTTCAGATCTCTAACTCAATTTTAACATCGTTTTTAAGGCACCTGAATATGGCGATTTTGGGTTTTTTACCGAATTTCGTATAACAGTGCTGGCGAGTATTTTATGCAAATTTCTTTAAAATCTCAACATAACTATTTTTTATTCCTGTCATCTTTGACATCAAATTAGAATGTTTTGAACTAAAAATAAATCTGCTGAACGACTTCCGATGAGTCCTAATGCCTGGAAAACTCCTGCCGGAGGCGGCGGCCTTCGGCCGCCGCCTCCGGCCGGAGTGCACGCTTCGCGTGCACAAAAGAGGCTTGTAACGTGTACCAAAGGGGGTATAATAGTAAAGGGGGTATAATAGTAAAGGGGGTATAATAGTAAAGGGGGTATAATAGTAAATGGGGAACATAGTATACCCACAATAAATGCAACGGTCGTGCTTGCCAGCACTGTGATATATCACGACAATCTGTCATAAAACAGGGGTTCTAGAAAACCCACTTCCCGATGTTCCTGAAACCTGAAACTTTTTTTGCAGTCGATTTGGTCAACGTCTAGACGCCCTGAAAAATTTCAGATCTCTAACTTAATTTTAACATGGTTTTTAAGGCACCTGAATATGGCGATTTTGGGTTTTTTACCGAATTTCGTATAACAGTGCTGGCGAGTATTTTATGCAAATTTCTTAAAAATCTCAACATAACTATTTTTTATTCCTGTCATCTTTGACATCAAATTAGAATGTTTTGAACTAAAATAAATCTGCTGAACGACTTCCGATGAGTCTTAATGTCTGAAAAACTCCTGCCGGAGGCGGCGGCCTTCGGCCGCCGCCTCCGGCCGGAGTGCACGCTTCGCGTGCACGAAAGAGGCTTGTAAAACGTGTACCAAAGAGGGTATAATAGTAAAGGGGGTATAATAGTAAAGGGGGTATAATAGTAAAGGGGGTATAATAGTAAAGGGGGTATAATAGTAAATGGGGTACATAGTATACCCACAATAAATGCAACGGTCGTGCTTGCCAGCACTGTGATTTATATGTTAATGAACATAATAGCCTGGGGTCCTCAGGTAAATAATTGATTGACGATGTCAACCCTTCCAGATCGTTGCTCTGCTTCGCAGAGCAACGATATTGTCAGGTTCTTTTTGCTTCGAAGTTTGATGCGAAGCAAAAATGCTAGTTTGCGCGGCGCGTCGAAGCGGCGAAGTCCTCCAAAGCAAATAAAAGTAAAAAATTTCGGACTCAAGTTGCAAATTAACGAGAAAATCATGATGCTTTTGCCTTCGGTTTAAGATGCAGAACAGGGCAACATTACTGATTATATAACACAATGGACAATAGAAGAATAGAAAACCCACGTACTATCAACTATAATGCAATGGTACACACCAACCATATCGATGAACAGTCAACGGGATGTTAATCACTTAATCATTAATAAGAATATAAATTAAAAATTGTGTATTTCCGTCAATCCATACTACGATCAGTAACAACAAATTCCTGTTACCAATACCATGACAACACGTCAGATGTACAATGAGAGTTAATCAGTGCACAGTGTGTAGTAACTAGTATAAAACAATCAATTCAGCTTAAACTATCAAAAAGAGTGCTCGCCATAACTTTAACAACTGTATAACTATAAACTGAATACCATCAGTTACCAAGAGAGCTCGAGATCGAACGAATAAGGGAAAGTTGGCATATGCAATATATTAGTATTATAACTATATCCACCAGCGGGCTATATTAATATTATGCTTTGGAGGACTTCGCCGCTTCGACGCGCCTCGCAAACTAGCATTCTTGCTGGTGGATATAGTTATAATATTATTGCTATACGTACTTCTAGCTGATTACTATTATACTTATAGCGAGCAAGTTAGTAAAAGGCAAAGCCAAAAGGGAAGGTGACGACACCCGATGATAATAAATCAGACGATGATCATTCTTTAAATGTATTTTTCAATTCCCACGCTCGACAACGTTTTTAATTACCGTTAGCATTTTAACTAGTCGGATTCCGTACTTAATACTGATTAATACTGCAGCTGCCCTCAGATCATGGCAGCATCTGCATATGGACCCCAGTATTAAACTATATAATTATTTCGTCAAAATAATTTGCAATTTGATTTCCACCAGATTAATTAGCCATATGCTTATGGAAGAACCTCTCACTGCTCACGATTCAAATTATTTCAAAATTGACACGTTTCCAATTCCTGAATCCTGCGGACTTCAGGTTTAAGAACATGGATATGTCGACCACTCGTACTCAGTCGTAAGGGCTAAGGCCCTTACTAATAAGATTAAGGGGGCATACACCAAAGCAGTGGTTAGTGCCGTCCAACCCAAATGACCTCATATGCAGTTCAGTGACCATGGCTTTGCAGATAAAAATTACATTTTCTCCCATAACTTCAAAGGGAAGCATTTTAGGGTGTTTTGTTGTTCATAACTCATATATGAACAATAAATGTGCTAGTTGCGGTTATTTTGCACCCTTCAAAAAGTCACTAGCACATTCCTATAATCAAAATTTTAGAAAAATCAATAAATATTAAAAACTGAAAAATGTGCCTAAATTTGTTGTTTGGCTTTGAGGTCAAATAAATCTGAAGATAAATGAGTAAAATCATTTTTGAGGGCATCGAAAACTGCGCCAGAATTCAGAGAACAATTTGATGTCACGCATCAAATTTGATTCACGATGTCAATCCTTCGCAGCTCGGTGAGGCACAGTGGTGCATCTCGCCGATCTACCGAAGAGAAGCATTATTTGATGCGCGCGCGACCCAGTAGTGCATCGCGCTACAAGCATCAAATCAATCCGATCTTCCCTGACTGACTTTTTGTTAAAATAAGCCTAAAAAGGACGATTTTAGCTTTTAGACTAAATTCATAACACACCAGCTTTTTAAATATGATGTCAAGATTTTACAGTACACACCTTGAAATTGACCATTGTTAATGATCTGGCCCGGCGCGCGCTACTTCGTAGCACTTGCCATCGTTTCGAGAAGAAAGCGGCGCGCGCTACTTCGAAGAAATTTAGACGAGTCAAAATCTAATACAACTTAGATGGAGATCGGAGAGATGCACCACTGGGCCACGCCGAGCTGCGAAAGATTGATATCGTCAATCAATGTGTCACGCAACTCGGCCTTGAAAGCTATCGAGATTTTTCCGGGATTGAAGTATCAAGTATACTGATACAGTTTATAATCATAGAATTAGAAAGAGGCTTCAAAGTGCTGTTTCCGAAACATACAATAGAACTATCACCACAGAAGAAAATGACTCAGGAAGAGGACAAGTTGACTAATATAAGAGAAAGCTGATGAAACTAGCTGTGACATGTGAAGTTCAGGAAAAACTTTTCCACCCACTTATTAACCAGCTTTCACAATTTCTAGTATTGTACCTGTTGGCGTTGAAATGTAACAAAATTAAAATGCGCTCGTTTATATCTATTAACAAAAATGTCAATTCAGAAATAACAGAAAACGTACTACAACACACTACACAGTACTTTATAACAAAATCAGTAAAAATCAGAAAACCAGAATCATTATTTTTCCCATGAAGGTTGCCGTTTAACGTATTTGTGTATTAATGGCGGCCCTCTAATGTCTCTGCGACAGATTTACCAGCAGTGTGACTGTTAGCCTATAACTGTCTACTGTCTCGTGTTATACTTTTAAAAGCCAGATAAACGTCAAACGAGATTTGGTTAGTCACAGCATCTAAAGTTCCTTGTTTTTATAAAGAGTTATGTTAATAGCGTTTTTACAAGAGTTCCGATTCCTTGAAGTTAACTTTCATAGGTAATAGGTTTATCTAACTATAGGTGATTAAAAGTGATTCCTTTTCGAAACACAAGGGTTTGTTAAGTCGCCTTAACGTTGATTAATGAGCATACTTAAAGGGAAAATACAGGCTTGGCAAATAGCTGGACTCAGTGTACACTAAATCTCACGTTATATCCAAAATCTTTATAACAGAGAAAAGTGGCTTTTTTACAGAGTAGGACGTTGAACAAATACTGGAGAGAACTTGAGGTCATTTTTATACGGATACAAAATTAGCAAAAAGGGTTTATCTAACTAGAAATCAGTGTCGCAATCTTAAATGGATTTGTTTCAAAAGAAGCTAAGTTTTTTTACATTGTACAAAACTTCGTGCACTTAAAAGAGTGTATGATAAGCCGGTATTAGGACCAGTTAATTAAAAATATTAAAATTAACAAAAAATCAAATTTTTGTTATTCTGAAATGCTATTAAAGATCTGTTACCGTATTATATCAATATATATCAAAAGAAATTCAACTCGAAACAATTTTTCATCAAAAAAACTTTCAAATACAACGTAACCCACTGTACAAAGTGATAAAAATGGGAGATGGTACGTCATCAGTCAATTTTCAAGTTATTTGACAACTTTGGTCATGCAAAGAGGGCTACTCTTGTTCGAGGGCCCGCTAAAAACAAGACTTCAAATCAAACGCCGCGCTTGAAACTCTGAGTTAGAAAACGAGGTGGTTCCGTGGTGGTTCCATGAAGTCCAGACAGGAGGATAAACCAGTCTAAATTAGACTCTAATGGCACACGGAAAAGAAACACAGCACTGTTACCAGTTACCACTGTTACCATGGACCATTGCCAGGTTTAATTCTGAAGGGTTCTGAAGACTGAACATCGAATCAGCTGTTCCTCTTTCGTCCATATCTTTCGTCTTGATCTATATTTCGTCTTAGATCCGCTGCATTATTCTACAAAGATAAGTGTCTCGAATTTGACAAGGATTTGTTGTAACCGGACATTGTGTTCTAGTTGAGACGACAAACTACAACTGGTTTCAAGTTCTCATTTGAAGATTGTCCTATAGTTGGTAATAATCTTCTCGACAGCAGTATTCTGTATTGGAAGGTCGACGAGAAGGTTAGCTCTGTCAGGGTGGTTCCCCAGTAAGGAGGGTCCGAATATTATACTCAGATTGTGTTCGTCCATCTGATTCTCTTCTTCGTGTGCCACCCTGAAATAAAGCAGGAGTTACAAAACATTCCATTAAATTAGTCTAGGATCGCAAAAAAAGCGCCACCCTAACATTAGTCTTCATGTATTGCACAGGTGGCTCGTAACTCAGAACTCTATAGAAAGGGGACCAAATTTTAAATGAATTTTCAGGCCAGCGAGCAATATTGTTAATTTTAATCCACGTTTGTAATTGGGTTGAATGAGACAGTGTACCTGACGAGGTGAAGTATGATATATTTGAAGGTAGACTTGTTCGGTTCCGGGAGGTCATGAACCACCTGCTTCAGAGATGTCAGCGTTTCTTCGTAGCTACCATTCCGATCTCCGTCTACAAAAATACAGGATTGTTAGTAGCCGTCGTCATTTTTAACCGAGCTTTATAATTAAATTCATCAGACAGGGTTACTAAGCTTTTAATTAATTCGCTAATTAATCGAAAACGGCTAGATAAATTGAGATGAAAGTAAATACTAACTGATGGCTTGTTCCACGATGGGGTACTGGCAGAAAGGTATAACAGGCTCGGGAAGTTCACGTAGGAACAGTTTCAGGAAACCTGTCAGCATGTTAATGTCGAACTCTTCATCTTTCAAGTTCACAGTCTCTTCTCGGTCAAATTTAAACCTGAAATGGGCGAAACCTGTCAGTTATGAACAAGGGGGCAAGCTGGTTCAAACATGGTTCCTGTTAAAATCAATAATATAATATTAAATAATGATTAAGAGAAGAGAGAGAGACCTGAGCTTCTGAATACTGGCACTGTTCCCACTGATCCTGTACATCCCCCCACTCTTCAGACCCCGGTACTCTATTGCTTCCACACAGTCTGTTAAAACACGCGGTACAGCCACCTTCTGTCTGGTACAAAGCTTTGCTAACGGGCACCCGAACACAGTATCTGAGGAGAGTGGGACTGTTAGCACTGCTAGCACTCACTGCACTGCTAGCACTCACTCGTAGCACTCGATGCTAGCACTCACTCGTAGCACTCGATGCTAGCACTCACTGTTAGCACGGTTTGTTAGAACAGTTTTTGGGTGTGAAACTGTGAATAGCACCTGCTCTCTAGAAATATGTAAATATTCGGCATATTTGTGAATAATATCTGTACATACACACTTGCTAATTATGATGGTAGAGATGAGCAGTGCAGCTGGTGGCTGCCTCCGATCACAAATAATGTATGAGAAAACCTACTAAAAGCTCTGATAAAGTAGTTTCCAATAAATCTATAGTTACTAGAAGAGTAAAGGATACAAAAGGAGCTAGAGGGTGGCTAGAAACCCAACCACTGTGCCACAAAGCCTAAAGCTACTTCTACTTATTTTAATGTCTTACCACCAGCCCTACACTAATAGCACTACTGTAGGAGATTGGACTTAAACGAGCGATGGATAGTTGGCAAGACGAATGAGAAGGCTACTCGGCCAGTCAAGGTAACTCTGTCCAGTACAGTCTACCAGATACTTGGTCAAGCTCGAAAACTACGACAGTCGAAGAAGTTTAGCTCAGTCTTCGTTAGGCTTAGTCCAGACCGCTCATTGCATTGGAGGATAGAGTTAAGCATAGACTTCTTGTTGAGGACCTACACAAGAAGAATACTTAGCCAGACAAGCACCACGACTTCGAAGGAGGGACAATTCGTACCGAACACAAACCAGTTAAACGAGTGAGTTTTTACAATTTCATGTTTTGCTATTAGGGAAGTAAATGTTTGAAGAGGATGGAAACTTGTCTCATTGTGCTCAAATTGTGATATGTTGAGTTATGCTATCTAGCCATTTGTCAGATTAGGTTTATCTTTGTTGTAACGTGCTGATCTTCAGGGTGTGGGCTGTGGCATGTTTCTGTTAAGAGTGCAGTGCCCTGATGGGTCATTAGTTTTATTCGTTTGATTCGTTTTTCAGTTCATTTTTATTATTTATCTTATCGATTTTTTATTTGAAACTTTTACAAAATAGCAAGTATACAAATGTACACCAAATCGAACAAAAATATAAAATGGGCCGAAATGTATAAATGCTAAAAAGCGCGGGTCAGTGAAACACGTACAGAGGACAACTTTCAGAACAGGAGTTTTTTGGCCGCCCAAAGTCTCAATAAAATCACCTCCACCTAGTAATAAAATGATGAAAAGTGTGAAACAATCAAATAATAATGTATGTATATAATATAATTGTCTCTCAAATACAGATAACGTCCGAAAACTCTTAAGAGTTAAGATACTCCTACATTTACTGATCGGTGTGCGAGAGACATGAATTACTTCATGGTGGCTTCTTAACCCGGCTATACTACAGACCTTCCCGTTACGGATGTAGTGGTCGAGATGAGTCTGTTCAGCCCTCTTCTTCTTCAGGTCAGTTACCAGGTTCTTCCTTGCTGCACGCTCTTCACTGGATCTATCAGGACAAATCCATACATCTTTGTGTGCCTCAGCCAGCCTCAGTCTCCCTGTTTTCATCAGAATCCGATGAACTGCTGTTGAGCTTGGGACGTTGATCTTGACTGGTCGGATAGCCGTACCTGGCCTCTTTCAGCCGACTCTTGTCGCTTCAAAATGAGGTTTCTCCCCGATCTCCTCCAGTACTGCGGTTACCAGAGCTGGAAGCTGTTCTTCATCCTCTTCTTTCACCTTTTCCTTGTCTGCTAGCGCTTCCGTCTTGAGGCACTCAATCATTTCCATCATAGTGCTCATCTGTCTACTCTGCCGCCGTAGAGGTCTGCTGCTTGCATAACCTAGTCTGCCATATACCTTTTATAAATAGACGGAGCCATTGATATTTAATATTTCTTTGTCCATATCTCCACGAATGTCGACGTCGTCGATTTTCAAATCTTTTGCCATCGTAGTGAACCATCTATCAACAAAGCCCTCTACATCTTCCTTTTCTTCATAATTGAAATCCTTGATTTTCTTCTGAGATCGGGTCAAATTCAGATCATCCTCCATGGTGTACTTGTATAGTAATGTACAAGTACACAGTACACACGCAAAGGCTAACTACGCGGTAGCAGCAAACTGAACTTATCGCTAAGTTACAAAAGATGAGAGAGCTCGATAATTGCAACGTAAGCTACACTGACTACAGAAATGTGTATTAAAATTTGTCATTAGAACCGCCCGGTTTACAAACAAAAAAGACTTCGATGTTAAAGCTAAGTTTAAACTTGCACCTGTTGCTCCTAAGAAATGTTTGCAAGCAGATAATGATCTCGTTTTGATCTGCAACCAATAAGTTTGGTTGCATGCCCCTGTGGAAGAGCTCTGACAATTGAAATACACCATCAGTGGATACCTCGTGTCACTAGATGAAACCCAGAAACCAGTACAACAACGACTACATTGAGGAAAAGTAACAACACAGCGCAAAAAGAGTAAAGACTCGTAGGAGTGTAGGAGACTAAGAGGACTGAAGAATGAACTAAAAATAGGAGAAAAAGGAGTTTACCGCAAAGATAAACACCTTTAGAAAAATGCATAAACAGTAAACATCGATGTCAAGAAGAATTACATGATGGTAAAGCTATCACTTATTCACTTATCACTTGTTGTTTGATCGAGAGAGCATTCACCGAAATTTGGAAATAGAAAATTTGAATTGCGCCTCAAATTGGTGAACTGAATTAAAAAGATATTGATAGATATCAAATTAATCGGCCGAGTCAATATCGCCCGAGAGGAACATTCCCCAATAAAAACTTACATTTAATGAGTCCCTTTCTCTCGAGGTCAGAGAAGGAAGGTCGAGATGTCAGCAGTCTGTTTAATACCTCCTTCTTCTTTGACTTATCAAGGTGACTGATGTCTGAAAGATACACAAAAATCAACAACCTGCGAGTTAACTACAAATCTGTACCAGGATTCTATGTGCGCTGGTGCAGCTTTGATCTATTTTCCATTGTTTGTGATATAAACGGTACTGGTCCGTATCATGATCAGATTTTACTATTCAACTGAAATTACTGCTATTCTTGTTTTGAGATACTGATTATGCGATGTAGTAGTTTTAAGTTATTTATAATTTAAAAAGCTTATCTCGAGTAATTAGCAGTAATTAGTAGTAATTACAAACCTATTCCCTGATCCTCTAGTAGCTTTTGTACCGATGATTTGTTGGTAGGATCTTTCATTTTCTTGTTCAGAAACTCAGTTATGTCTTTCTTGGTTATCTCTTTGCAGTCTAGGATTGATCTCCTATCAACGTCAGTGTCATGACCTGAAATAATACATGATATATATTATATAATTTATATATATTGTATAATGATATTAGCTGTTTCACTTCCTTTCACTACTTAAGGATATTCCTAACAATATCCATTTTCTATAGCCAATACATTTACCTACGCCACCATGTACCTTATTGTATATTATTATGCACCTTATTCGTGCTAAGATGGCATTTATACTTTCCACAACTCATAAACACAATCTGAAACACTTATAGTACAATAGGTGTATAAAGTAGGGAGGAAGTGAAAACTAAGGCTGGCTCCCTGGGTTTCAATTCAAAAGAAAATGTAGAGTGCCAATGAGCCCCCATCACTTCTCACACAGTTAAATAGCAATGTGTAGCGTGTGTAGCGTGTGTAGCGTGTGTAGCGGTGTACGTACCGTTGCTGCCGACATGATGTGATATGTCAGAAGTAGATAGAGAGTTCTTAAGCCCAGTGTAAGGAGTCCCCGTGCAACCACTCAAGTTCTCTAGCCACGACTCAAACGTTGAAGCCTTAACTCCCGTCTGAAATACAGTTAGGTTATAGTCCCGGGTGGAAATGAGGACGTCTAAACTGTGTGATCACTAGTCAGTGACGAGACAGGGTGAATAGATGCGTCTGGACTTGGGAAACAATCGATCTAGCTTAAGTTAAGGGGGGTTCACCCTGATTTTTTTGTGAAATTTGATTTGGAGATAGCAATTGACCAACAAACTAGGGCCTGTGACCGAACTTTTTTAGGGAGTTCCGGTAGATATAATATTGAGCTGACAATCATAGAGAATGTATAGTTTAGACTTACCTTTTGTATAAAGTTAGTTTCATTCAAAAATATTGATATTTGACCAATTTATGGGCCAAAATCGATCAAATTTGGTGCGTATGCCCAAATATGGGCATATGGTTTTTGGCTCATTTAAACTCAGTAATTTTTTGTCCAATCTTGATGAAAATTTATAGGTTTTGAGCATGTTAAGGTGATTTGGCATAATTGGGCGTAATTGGGACCAAAAATAGGCGTGACTGTCCCGCCGGCACACGGAGTCCGGAACCCCCTCAAAAGTTCGGTCACAGGCGTCAGGCCCTAGTTTGTTGGTCAATTGCTATCTCCAAATCAAATTTCACAAAAAAATCAGGGTGAACCCCCCTTGAGAATGGGTTCTGATTTTAAATTGGTAGTCGCCTTAGCCATTGTCTAAACTCCAGAGTCAGGAGACAAACTTTAATTATGACTTAATATTGAGCTTAATAATGTACATATTTTGTTTAGTTATGGTGCTCTCTAATATAATAATAATAAACCTTACATATATAATATGAAATAATAATAATATAATAAAACCTTACCTCTGCTTTGACTCGGAGTAACATTTCAAGACCGTTCGGTTTAGATATCTTGATAAGTTTAATACCCTTTTTGTCGGGCTCTAGATCCACGAGAGCATCGTTGGTGATATCGCATGCTGACTCAAACTCGTTTCGTTTGAAGTGTTTCACATCTTTGTAGAAGTATATGGTGTTGGATTTCAATATCGCGTAGAAGCTTGCCCATGATTTCTCAACAGACCTGTTCAATCGTTGCGGTTATTTACTTTAAATATAAAGAAATCTGAAGCTTTCTGTAACGAAGTTTCATGTGAAGCTTGAATCATTTTTTAATAGAACAATAATTAGAATCGACACATTTAAAATTTTAATTAAATTCCCTTACTTGACTTCTGGTGGAGTTTTAGTTATCTTTCTCTTGAGCGTACCTTCACATTTTATCACCGGACTCTGAAACAAATTAGGAGTCATTATCGAGAACAAATAATGATTAGTGTTATCAGTGTTTTCATGTCTTGTTCCGTAGTCGCTGTTAAAATGTCGGTCTTGGTTTCAGGACAGTCAAATTTAAGATTGTCAAGTCATGTTGTTCAGATAAGAGTTGTATGTGATTACTAGACACATAAACTCTGTATACTTCTAGTTATTGACTGCTAATATATAAACTAAACTCTGTATACCTCTAGTTATTGACTGCTCATATAAACTAAACTCTGTATACCTCTAGTTATTGACTGCTCATATAAACTAAACTCTGTATACTTCTAGTTATTGACTGCTAATATAAACTAAACTCTGTAAAATACATTAACTCTGTTAACTATAATATTAAGTGTGTAGTGTGTAGTGTGTCTACTGTGTAAACAGTCAAGCCACTCATTACACATCCCTCGTGAGTCATATGGCATCATTTTAATCCTTTATCAACAATACTACAGTAATAGTAAGAGATTAAAAGGGCTCGACTTATCTAGAAGTTCTATGAAATCCATAAACCCTGCAATAAATGGTCCTAATAGATCATCCAATAGAGTTAAGAGTAGCACGAGAGTACGAGAGGTATTAACATACGTATTCTCTGATTGAATTCGGCCAGTGAGGTAATTATTGAAATATTTGGTATTATTAATCCTAACAAGAACAGAATTATGGATTATGGGACCGACTATTGTGAACATAATGCAGATATATAAACTAGGAAGTAAAGTAGAAAGGAAGAAAGGGCGCAGTACCGCTAGAGCTAGTTCGAGAAGCTCAGCCGGAGTAAGAGTCTCAGCTAGAGATTTAGTCCAGCCCTGTTCCACCACATAACACCTAACACTGGGATCACAGCATGCTCTGATGAACCCCCACGCTACTCGTCTCTGTAAGGTCTCAGTCCCTTCATTACCGTACGCTGCCACCACTTTGTGTTGCAGTCTCGTCACTAGCTCCTCGAGTGTCTCCTCCTCTTCCTGTCGCAGTGTCTCAAACTCTATTATGTTCTTCTCTCTCATCCTGGCGTCTTGTTCGTTTATCTCGTCCAGCATGAGGAGTCCCTGGTTCTGGGACTCAGGGCTGTGGAGGTGGTCTTCAGAGTGGATCTCTGAGTTTATTGAGGTGCAGGATATGGAGGATACCACTAATAGGTTGCTCTCTGAGGAGGTCTGGTGGATAAGGGGGTCGTGCTTGTTAAGGGAAGTAAGGGAGGAGCTTCCTTTTTTATCCCGTGTTAGAGAAGAACCCCTTCCTGGTTCCCAGAATGAGGTTATTTCAGTTATCTGTTCTCGAGCTAGACGTAACTTAGCGATCAATTTAGCTTCCTTCTTCTTCAGTTCCGAGAGTTTGTATTCGTCTAAGTTTTGTTGGACGAGAGACACGATCCTGTCCTCACTGAGATCAGACGAGGAGGAGGCTGTCCGACCGATGGCTGGGACTATACGAGAAAACATGACAAACACTCACGACACAAGATGGGTGGAAGTGCAACGAAACACACACACACACACACACCAAACAAGTCTACAATGAACGAGGTAATGAATGTTTACTCTGAGCAGATATAATCACAGGAGGGGGAAAACAAAAGATGTTCCCGAAATATGATGCCGGTTATTATTGTAAAGATGGATCCTGTTCGATGTGAGACTGATAACAAAGGAGGGAGCCCTACTACAAGAAATGGAATGAAGCAGCGTGTGTAATGCCGGATAATATTACACCTGACGATCTCACCGCGCTGCTCCGCACTTATTTAAAGTTGAGATGATGCCAGCGACACAAACTTAAATACTGAAACACTCTGAAAGTGAGTGGGGGACTAATCATACCTTGGTTTGAACGGGTATCATGACAGATAAAATTACCTAATAAGTACATGATACGGGTATCGAGTTCATATCTAGGTGCTAAATCTTGAGAGTTGACAAAATATAATTACTTTACCTTGAGAGTTTTCCGTCTTAATTCATCTATAACAGAGGCATATGTTCCTGGGATCATGACAGCAGGCACGTGACCCCTGCATCACAACATTTCATCATCTATAGCACTATCAGTGAGTACTCAGTTAAACACCGTGTATTTAGACGGTAAATCAACATATTATACGTGCGACAATATAATCTTCAACATATGTGCTGATAGTGAAACAGTGACAAGGAAATTGGCTTCATTAATGATGTGGGTATACACTCATTATTATCAAATCATTGAATTAGATTGGTAGGATAGGGAAAATGTGACGATTAATGACGTGCGGAATGTAGGATTGAAATACCGCACAATGCACCAGCTTTAAAACTTGAAAATCAGATTACTACACCGGAACAAATCACAGCTCAGCTCTCTCTCAGAGAGGAGGACAGTGTAATCAGACGATGAGATCAGTTCAACAAGCACTCAGCATGACGGTGTATAATACAAGCAAAGGGAGGCGCTGCACTTGTACGGACTGCACCGCGAAAGGTTTAAGTTTATACACTATGTACGGAACATAGTTGGTGTGTAGGGTGATTATGAGTAATATGTGCAATGCAAATAATTAGCCAATTAGTGTAATTGTCTGAGAATGATTTCTATAGACATTAGACAATGGCAGAAAAAACTAGGCTACGCAAGAGGTCTGTTAGTAGTATGAGGTGCTGTGCTCCAGATCTTCAATCAGTGCGTACATACGGAATCCAGCTAAACAAGGGGGTTTGTGAACCATTAAGGTGAGTTTAAAACCAACATTATAAAAGGCATGTCCCTCCATCTGAATTTAGAGGTGAGGAGGCATAGTGGAGCTCAGGAAGAGAACCAGTATAGAGCGAGAAGTGCTGCAGGTTTGAGAAACTTTTATAGTCGAGCCGTGAATCTCAAATCTACGTGGGAGGCTCACCATGTCAAATTGGTCACTAACGGATTATAGGCTCAAGTAGACAATGCCTTGTATAGTATTACTAGGATTGATAACTATATTCGGATCTATCGAGAGGTAAAACCTTGACTTGAAATCGCTTAACTGTTATACTTTTAGCAAGATCGACGACCTTGATTACCCAAAATAGCGTTGTGCGTGGAAATTAATCCTTGACATGTTACTAAAAATACGTCGTTAAACGGTACTGGTAGCGGCTAGCCCAGCTCCATTCAGATCCGCTGCCACTCAAATCTAAGAAGTTCCCTATTAGGGTAATTTTTTAACCAAAACCGTCGCCAATGTCTCCTTTTTCCAAACTAAAGGAAATGATTAATGATGTCAATTTAAATGACCATTACCGTATCCAGTCCAAACGCAAGATGATACCGAGAATGAAATCGGTCGGTCGCTTTTCCCATTCATTCATGTCCTGCAAATTCAATTTGCAGCAAATTGTAACGAGCTAAGATGAGAAGTACGGACTCGTTTAGGGGGAAAAGTACGTACTTGTACGCAACTTTGAAAAGTCCGACTCATACGACGTACGATTAAGATAGAATTTTTTTGTTTTTGAATTATTATCATTAGGGCCGTTGTAAAATGTAAATGTAATTGTTTGCCGATGTTAGAGAAAATATGCCGTTCGCGAACAAATTAAACACACAATTCTTAGATCAGGCAGGCATTTAAATTTAAAAGTAAAACAAAAATTACTAGACAATTTACTTATTCAAACAGCTTGTTTAAAAGCTGTTTTGAAAACGCTCAATATAAGTCCGTAACTTGCGATTTAGAACTCTTCCATTAATTTCTAGAAGGAGAACTTTTCAGTACAATTGAAAAGTACGTACGATACGAGTAAATTGAAAAGTCCGACTCATTCGTACTTCTCATCTTAGGTAACGAGCTCAGATAGTGCCGTAACACATCGCGTTAGTGCCGAGTACTGCCTCCTATCAGTATCATCAATTATTATGAATGATAACGCTGCTTATCTTGAAACGGTAACACAATAACATGGCCGATAAGAAGTTTGTTAAGTACATTTATTTATAACGGCTTTAATATTACTAGCAGGAACCCGTCTAACCCTAAAGTGGTGTCAAGACTCAAGAGACTAAAATAATTATTACCTATTTAATTCGCGTTTTTGACACCACTTGGGGGTCCAAATTTTGGGCTCTAAAACTCCTATTTCTTGGCCAATTTTTTATTTTTTCATGCTGATTTGAATGCCATTAAAGCATTTGACCCAGTCAAAAAAGTTTCAGTTGTATATCTTTTACGGTTTTTGCGGAAAGTCGTGTTAAAGTTGATGCCGTGGTGTCAGTAAAATGGCACGGATAAATAAATATATATATATCGTCTCGCTTTATATATAGTTTAAAGATTACAGGGCACATCTTAGGATTGAATTAAATTAAAATGCTCGTTGTAGCTGTTAGATTTTCATCATAACATCGAATTAGAATAGTTTGAACTAAAATTAAACCTGCTGAACGACTTCTAAAGAGTCTAAATGGCGAAAATAGTATTAAGGGGCTATAAAAGCTGACGGTCGTGCTTTCCAGCATGATGGTAAACAGACATTTTGATCTTTCATAAAAAACCTTCTAGAGTTCTATCAGACTCTATTCGTGAGACCAATACAAGAATTAATGAAAACCTAAAGTTGCGGTGGTCCCAATCACTGCAGCACACAACACAGAGCTTCAATAAGAACGCATAGTTTTGAGATCATATTGAATCTAGTTCAATGTTTGAGGTATGTGATATTCCGTGGAATGACCAAGATAGATTGCTTCAAGGTTATGGTATTAAGAAATACAAGTCACGACAGCCATTAGCCATCGATGATTTGCTTGACTATATCAGTGACAAGTGAGCACGTGATTTAAAAGTATATCATTTTCTACCATATGAGGGCAGCAGTGTGAGTGTGCATATTCGCGATTGAAATATAACTCTAAAAACAAGATCAATTAAGAGGTTAAAGAACCAATAGAAAATAGAGAAGTAAAATAATCTGAAGAGTCTTTATGAAATGAGCTGTTCTAAATTTAAATCA